GCCCAAGCGCTTCCCCACCGCCGTCACCTTCACCCCCGAGGACCCCACGTGCCTCGCGTTCGTGACAGCTGGCGCCATCCTACGGGCTGCCACGTTCGGGATCGAGGTCCCGGATTGGGCGAGGGACGGCAAGAGGATGGCTGAGGCGGTGGCCAAGGTGGAAGTGGGGGAGTTTGTGCCGAAGCAGGTGAGGATGGGGGGAAGAGGGAGGAAGTGGAAGGGAAAGGAGGAGGGGGGTGGGTGGGGGGTTACGGGAAGGGGAAGGGGGAATGGTGGGAGGATGGGAAGAGGATGCTGAGGCGGTGGCTAAGGTGGAAGTCGGGGAGTTTGTGCCGAAACAGGTGAGGATTGTGGGTGAGGGGAGGATTGAAGGGGGGAGTGGGGGGGGGCGTTGGGAGGGACGGGACGGGAGGGTGGAATTGGGAGATTTTGTGCTGAAACATGTGTGGCCGGGGAGAGGGGGCTAAGGGTGGGGGATTTGAAAGGAATGGAGTGTGGAAAAGCAGAGGAGGCACCCCTCCCCTGCCTTCTCACACTCTATTCGAGGTGGTGGAGGAGTAAGGCGGGGAGGGGAAGATGGAAAAAGGAAGGTGAGCAGAAGATGAGGAGGCAATCGTAGGGGTGGCCTCTGTGCCTGTCTGTGATTCCGTCCCTCCCCTTCCCGCCGCACCCCAATCCACTTGTTCCACCACCACCACCACCACATTTGTTCCCAGGGTGTGAAAATTTTGATGGATGCGAAGGTCACCAGTGCTGCCTCATCAGTGGGGAACGATGGCAAGGTGAACCGCAGTACCCCTCCTCACCACCGCTTTACCCTCCCCACCCCAATTCACCCCACTGCACCCCTCTCCACCACCCTTTATCCCTCCCATCGCTGCCTCACAGGGTGTGAAGATCGTGACAGACAAGAAGGCCACCAGCGCCGCCACATCAGTGGGGGACGACGGCAAGGCGACGAGCAGTGCCCCTCCCTACCACTCAATTCCTTCCCTCACCCCTCCGTAACCCTCCCCATCTTTGCGTCACAGGGTGTGAAGATCGTGACAGATGAGAAGGCCAGGAGCGCTGCCACGTCAGTGGGGGACGACGGCAAGGCGACCCCCGACACCCCTCCCCACCAACGTTCCACCCCTCTCCACCCCTCCCCACCACTGCCTTTACAGGGTGTGAAGATCGTGACAGATGAGAAGGCGACCAGCGCTGCCACATCAGTGGGGGACGACGGCAAGGCGACGAGCAGTGCCCCCCCCTACCACTCAATTCCTTCCCTCACCCCTCCCTAACCCTCCCTACTGCTGCCTCACAGGGTGTGAAGATCGTGACGGACGAGAAGGCCACCAGCGCTGCCACGTCAGTGGGGGACGACGGCAAGGCGATCGCTGAGCTGGTGGGGCGGCTCAAGGAGGGCAGCAAGGGGCTTCCCAAGGAGTTCCGCATGGTGCCAGTGCAGTTTGAGAAGGTGAGAGGGAGTGGGAAGAGGTGGTAAGTGGTTGGTCATCAGTCTGATTCCTCGTGTTTCAACAAGAATGTGGTGGCAAACCCAGTGGGCCGGCTCAAGGAGGCAGCAAGGGCCAGCTGAAGGAGTTCCACACAGTGCCACTGCCAGGGCAGATTGAGAAGGTGAGGGGGGGTGTGGAAGAGAGTGGCTGAAAATCAATCTGAACTTAACTGTTTCAACAACACTGTGCTAGCAAACCCGGTGGGGCGGCTCAAGGACAGCAGCAAGGGATTCCCCGCGGAAATCGCTTACCTTCCGTTTTGCCGACGTGCCACTCACAAGCAGCCAGAGGCTGCGGTGCTCACCCTCCCAGGCAACCCTTTTTCCCCCTCCACCAGCCCCCCCTTTCTGTCGCTGCGCTTTCTCCACAAGACTTGGGACACACACCTGCATGTGGATCCCATGGCTGCTTTGCCTGATCAGCCCTCACACACCCCGCTCCCACATTCGCTCCCTCTCCCCTCCTCAGGACGACGACACGAATTACCACATGGATCTTATGGCTGCCCTTGCCAACCTCTGCGCCACAACCTTGCAGGCTCCTTGAATCAACCCCAGCCCCACTTTAAAGCCTATGCCCCCCAACCCCTCTCCGTCTGCCCTCTCCTCAGGACGACGACACCAACCACCACATGGATCTCATGGCTGCCCTTGCAAATCTCCGTGCTCGAAACTACACCATTGGCGAGGTGGACAAGCTCAAGGCCAAGTTCATTGCTGGGCGGATCATTCCTGCGCGCTCGCAGCCAATTAAGAGGCTCCTTCAACTCACACACCCCCTCTCCCTCCCTCCCGTCTGTATTTCTCTCCTCAGGACGACGACACCAACTACCACATGGATCTCATGGCAGCTCTGGCCAACCTGCGCGCTCACAGCCAATTTAGAGACTCCTTCAACTCACACACCCCCTCTCCCTCCCTCCCGTCTGTATTTCTCTCCTCAGGACGACGACACCAACTACCACATGGATCTCATGGCAGCTCTGGCCAACCTGCGCGCTCACAGCCAATTTAGAGACTCCTTCAACTCACACACCCCCTCTCCCTCCCTCCCGTCTGTATTTCTCTCCTCAGGACGACGACACCAACTACCACATGGATCTCATGGCAGCTCTGGCCAACCTGCGTGCTCGCAAGGCCCTTCAACTCACACCGCTCTCAACTCCCCCACACCTCTTTCTCTCCTCAGGACGACGACACCAACTACCACATGGATTTGATGGCTGCTCTTGCCAACCTGCGCGCGCGCAACTACACCATTGGCGAGGTGGACAAGCTCAAGGCCAAGTTCATTGCCGGGCGGATCATTCCCGCCATCGCCACCACGACAGCGCTTGCCACTGGTGAGAGAAGGGAGTGGAGTGGGGTGGGGTGGAGTGGGGTGGGATGGGATGGGGTGGACAAACGAAAAGCCAAGTTCATTGCTGGGCGGATCATCCCTGCCATCACCACCACCACTGCTCTTGCCACTGGTGGGGGGAGGAGATGATCTTTGCTAATACTGATCGGTGCATTGTTGTTGCTGTTGTGCCTGTGATTGCAACAAGCTCGCTTTCCCCTCTCCTCACCGCTCCCCCCCCATCCCTGCCCAGGCCTGGTCTGCCTGGAGCTCTACAAGGTGCTGCACATTTAGCCCTACCCCTCTCTCGTCCATCCCCAACCCCCCCTCCCCCCCCTCCCTTCTTTCCCAGGCCTCGTGTGCCTTGAGCTTTACAAGGTGCTGCAGGGCGCCAAGGCCTCTGCCCTGCGCAACACCTTTGCCAACCTCGCTCTGCCGCTCTTCTCCATGGCGGAACCCGTGCCGCCCAAGAGCGTCAAGCACAAGGAGCTCACGTGGACCGTGTGGGACCGGTGGACGGTGGAGGGTGACGTCACGATGCAGGAGCTGCTCGACTGGTTCAAGGCGAAGGGGCTCGATGCGTACAGGTGAGAAGGGGTGGAAAGAGTTGGGAAGGGGTGGACAGGGTTGGCAAGGGGAGGGAAGGGGTGGAGAGGGGTGCAGGTGTGGGTGCGTTTGTTGCAGACCGGTGGGTGGTGGAGGGCGGTGTGACGATGCAGGAGCTGCTGGATTGGTTCAAGGCCAAGGGGCTCGATGCATACAGGTGAGCATGGGTTGAAAGCGGTGGAAAGGAGTGCGTGTGTGTGTGCTTGTGGTAAGGCAGATCGGTGGACGGTGGAGGGCGACGTGACGATACAGGAGCTGCTGGACTGGTTCAAGGCCAAGGGGCTCGATGCATACAGGTGAGCATGGGTTGAAAACGGCGGGAAGGGGTGGATGTGTGTGTGTGTGTGTGTGCTTGTGGTACAGCTGACCGGTGGACGGTGGAGGACGACGCGGCGATACAGGAGCTGCTTGATTGGTTCAAGGCCAAGGGGCTCGATGCATACAGGTGAGAGAGATGGGTGGAGAGGCAAGGAATGTAAGCAACATGAATCAACCATATAGGATGAGGAGGATAGGAGGTGACTATCAGCTTCGGAGATCTCGGTTGGTATTGGTAGGGAGGTTCGATGTTTAGTCTACATTTGTCTAAACACGTTGCTCATCCCACGGAGAGCAACCCGGCTTCTAGAGTCTGTTATTCTCCTGCCTTGCACCGAGCCTCTCAATCCAACCGAGATTGTTGATGGTGCTACTGACCTCCTTTTTGTTCCACTCTTGCGGTTCCCTCCCCCCTCTTCCAAACAACATTTCTTGCGGCCAAGCCCTGCTGTTCAACTCGCTCTTCCCGCGTAACAAGGAGCGCCTACCCCGCAAGGTGCTGGACATTGCCAAGGAGGTGGCAAAGCTGGAGCTACTCCAACATTTCTCCTTTCTTTCCATGCCTCTCCTGTCTTCGCTCTCCCCTCTCCTGTCTTCCCTCTCCCCTCTCCTAACAGCATTTCCTGTGGCCAAGCCCTCCTCTTCAACTCGCTCTTCCCGCGTCACAAGGAGCGCCTACCCCGCAAGGTGCTGGACATTGCCAAGGAGGTGGCAAAGCTGGAGGTGCCGGCATACCGCCGCCACTTTGACGTGGTGGTTGCATGTGAGGATGACGAGGGGGAGGATGTGGACGTTCCTCTCATCTCCATCAAGTTCCGATAAGCCACTGCTGACTCTGCCATGCCCTGCCGAACCGCCGCCACTTTGACGTGGTGGTTGCATGTGAGGATGACGAGGGGGAGGACGTTGACATTCCTCTCATCTCCTCAAGTTCCAATAGGATGCCATACGTGCCTCTGCTATGCCTCGCTGTGCCGCTGTACCGCTGCTACTTCGGCGTGGATGGGGAAGGGGAGGATGAGGATGTTGATGCACCACTGATCTTACCGTATCAGGTTTTGATTAGATGCTACCTGTTTGTTGCACACTGTGAGGGCTACTTATGGATTGTTCCTCTACGTGACGCATTTTGAAAGAGTGTAACCCGCATGCAGCCACTTTACTCACCGGTAAGGTAACTGATGTTTACACGAGATGGTTCTGCCAGTCCTACATCTGCATCAGCTAGAGACACAGTCAAGGGTACCCTTCCTTACCCAGCTGTTGAAGGAATCTCAAGTGGGAAGTGGGTACACTCCACAGAGGTGAAAAGCAACTCCTTCGACAGTTTTACATTCTGGACATGAAGAATGCAGTACAGTTGCCACTTTGTAGACAGCATGGTGACAGGTGTGTTGACAGAACTTGAAAATGCAAAGAGAACTACTACAATTATTTTACAAAACAGCTTCTACAAACATGCAAATTCGGGGCAGTCCAGTTTACTCTGGTCCAGCCACAGCTGCTAATACACTAGAATGTACCGTATGATCTACATTTGTCTCAGCACATTGCTCATCCTACGGAGAGCAACCCGGCTGCTAGAGCCTGTTAACCTCCGTCTTGCACCGAACCTTCCAATCCCGACCGAGATCCCTGAAGCTGCCAGTGATCTCCTCTCCTCCTCATCCTCCTCATCCATGTACAGTTGATTCATGTAGCACACACTCCCTGCCCCATAGATCGAAGATCCGCTTCTGCTGCTGGCATCTTCATCCTCCTCATCGTCCCCAAAGAGCTGGTTCGAGAAAGCAGTCCCCCCATCAGCCTTCCCAGAACCCCTCATGTCCATAATCCAGCCCTTCCCAGTGCCGCTGATGCGTCGACCAATCCCCTTCTTCCCACAGGTTACAACTGAGACCAAGTCCCTGTGAGAACCACACAGGCTATCAGCAGAAGTGGACGAGCAGCTATCCCAAGTGGGGTCGATAAGACACGCACTGTGGCTGCTGCAGCTGCTGTCAGTCTGACTCAGGCTGCACCGCCTGCTGCTCGCCTCTGCACCCACCTCAGCTTTCATCTCCACACCTTTCCGTGCCTCAGAACCCATTGTCGCATCCTCGTATGCATCTGCATCCAGCTCTACACCTTTCTGCGCTTCCAAACCCATAATCACATCCTCAAATACCTCAGCAACCAGGAACCAGGAAGCCACCTCCTCAGACTCCGGAGCCAACCACCACGCTTCCTCAACCGAGCAGATAGAGTTCTCAACTAAACCGAAAAATTCTTCAGCCGAGCAGCGGGGTGTAACAGCCGAGACAGGAGGAACGACCAAAGTTGACAGAGCAGCGGGTTCAGCAGAGCTGGTAGCAGTTTCGAGCAGGTCAGCAGGAACCGCCACAGAGACAGCAGGGACAACCACACAGGCAGCAGGGACAACAAACGAGCCAGCAGGGACCGCCACAGGGACAGCAGGGACCTCATCTTTCACAGTAGGAGACTCAACCACGACAAGAGCAGCCTTGGCTGCAAGTTGAGTGCTTGAGCTGGTCCATTTGAAGTCGACCTGCAAAGACTCAAGTGAGCAACGTTAGTCTTTGCTCAGCATTTTAAGAAAATGCGTGTTAGAAATGAGGCGTTTGCGTGCATTCAAACAGAGAATCGGAAAGGAGGAGGTAGAAATCTGTTCTTACCAGGCGTGAAAGCGAGACCAGGTTGCACATGAAGCGAGTCAGGGAGTCATCCTGCTCCCAGTGACTCGAGAAGAGAGCGTCGACTCCATGCAGGCACTCGCAGCAACGATGCAGGCCATTTCGTCGACTGATGAAGTTGAGAAGGCGGACTGGCTTTAGTGTTGAGTACTACGGATTGTCAGGGAGCACTCGTGCGGATTCAGAGAGCAGGTAACACGGCCTTGAGAGCAGAAGACGGTAGGATTCTGAAGGCTGATGATAACTGGATCACTGCAGACTGGTGAATGGGGAATACAAACCCCTGCTTGCTTTACACTCGTTTCTCTGGTGCTGCCAGTGGCTGGCTGCTAGGATTCGCGAGAATGTGGGGTGAGCCTGAAACTGGGACGGAGTCGCGACGAAAGTCACGGAGGGGGTTGGAGGTTCGGAGTCGCGAGAGAGTGAGGCTCGGAATCGCTGAGGGTGTGAGGCTCGGAATCGTTGAGGGTGTGAGCCAATGCCAGCCAATGCTGAGCGGAAATCGCATAGCCTGTGGGGTCCGCGGCGATCGGTGCCCATGGCGACGTCGCCGGGTGGCCTAGTAAGCGTCGCATGGCTGTCCAGTCCAGTTGCGACGATTCGATGTGAGCTCTTGGCTGTATGAGCGTGGGAGGGGGTTTCTCTGAAGCGTGTGGTGCTCCCAAGGTCCGCCGCAATCGGGAGTACCGTGCGGCTCGAGAAATTACGAAGGCGGGAAAGAGATACATATGGATATGGAGCGAGACTTCAGGCAATAGGTTCGATGAACCGAACCTACAGCCGAACCTACGCTCTAACCCAGCGGATTCTTGGATACTGGACATGTGGGATCGAGGTAATGCAGCGGGAAGTCAGGGAATGGCTGAAGGAATGTCTAGTGCGGGTAAAATCAATGGTTTCAAGTGTTTATAGGCAAACTGGTTATACGCTTTGTTTCCATTTATATGACACCGAATTTACTTATATTTACCACAAGGAACTGCTTACGAAAAAACCAACGATGTTTTTGGGCGTGTCCACAATCTGGTCCACATATTGTACTAGAAAGTGGCTGCATATGCAGCAAGCTGGTACACACATCATACTTACAAATGAAAATTATACATACGTATATTTCTTATAAGTATTCCAAAAGCTATCAAGGATGCCCAGCTCTCCATCCTCCATTTTCACCCATCCACCCATCCCTCCATGCATCACCCCTTCACCTCATCCCTCCTCTCCTGCCCCTCGGCCACCATCACCCTCTTCCCCATCTCATACACCAAGAACCCAATTGCCGTCGCTGGAACCAGCTCAATGAGGCTCGGCAGCACCCCTCTGTACAGCCCCCTCACCCCCTCCTTCCTCAATATCCCCCTCATTGCCTGGCGAAGTGAGTTGTACTCCAGGTGCCCGCCCGTGGGGGTGGCGTGTTTTGGCAGCAAGCTCATGTTGATTTCGCGCCGGCAGAGCTCGAATGGGTGTGTGACTATAGTGGAGGCTGCTCCTGCGATGGCGCCGGAAATGAGCATGTGCGCTGCAGACGGGTCTTTGCCATTTCTCAGCCTCTGATGGGTGGAAACAAAAAAGGATCACAGTGGCGACATGGGATTGTTAGCAAGTGCCATGGTGTTGGGATTATGTCAGCTCGAACGGGTGCGCAACCAAGGGTGTGTGACTATAGTGAATGCTGCTCCTGCAATGGCACCGGAAATGAGCGTGTGCGCTGCAGAGGGGTCATTGCCATACCTCCGTCTCTGTTGAATGGGGGGAAAAGGGTATGGCAACAGGGCATTGTATAGAGTGTGTGTGTGGGCATAGGGCAACATGCATGCCATGCACCTCACCTTGATCTCCTTCTTGAGTGAGTCAAAGACAAGAAAGTTGATGGCAGAGGCGGGCACCATGGAGGCCAGCTTCGGCACAAAAACGAGGGGGATAGAGCGGGAGTGTGTGAGGGACACAGAGCACACAGATGTGTCATGTATTTATGCATCTGACCTCACCTTGATCTCCTCTTTCAGCGACTCGAAGACGAGGAAGTTGATGGCAGAGGCGGGAACCATCGACGCCAGCTTCGGCACCACCCCTCGGAACAGCTGTGAGGCACCGTGCTGCTGTGCCACCCCCACCAGGGCCTGTCGCAGACCAGGGTACTTTCCCGGCTGCGGAGGGGATAAATTGTAAGAAAAATGGGAGGGGAAGATGTGTGACCAGCTGTGAGGCGCCGTGCTGCTGTGCCACCCCTACCAGGGCCTGGCGCAGACCAGGGTAATTTCCCGGCTGTGGAGGGGATAAATTGTAAGAAAGATGGGAGGGGAAGATGTGTGAACAGCTGCAAAGCGCTGTGCTGCTGTGCCACTCCCACCAGGGCTTGTCGCAGTCCCTGGTACTTGCCCGGCTGCATTAAAAACAGAACACAGAAAGAAGACATACAGATTGGAAAATAACAAGGACTTGAGCTAGGATCTCTTCACTCTACAAGGAACAGCGGTGATTGGCTGTGCTGCTGTGCCCCCACCACCATGGCCTGGCACAGACCGGGTACTATCCCGGCTGCAGGAATAACAGACCACAGAAGGGAGACATACAGACAGAGGGAAGAATGACAAAAAAAAGAGCTAGGTTCTCACTCTACACTACATTGAACAGCTGCGAGGCGCCGTGCTGCTGTGCCACTCCCACCAGGGCCTGGCGTAGACCAGGGTACTTGCCTGGCTGCATGGGAGGAAAAAAGGAGAGAAATTATAGAGAGATATACAGAGGAGATGTGCAGAAGAAGGCAGAGAGTAGAATACATTCTGACATACCTTACCTGAAGGTACCTGGCGACACCTGAAGACACCTGGAGATTTACCTGCAGGCTCATGTGGTCACCGACAGCAGAGAAGGGGTAGAGGAGGAGAGTGGCAGCCAGGCCTGCTGCTCCCCCTGCCACTGAGCTGGGAGGTAGCGAGTCGGGCAGCTGAAACGTTTTTGGGTGCTTCTGATTGGCTCGTAGCAGCCATGCCTTGACGGTCTCAAATGTGTAGAACTGATTGAGTGGGGAATCAGGGGAAAATGGCAAGGGGAACAAGGGGAAAGAGGATGGAGAAGGAACACCATGGAGGCCCAAGGTAAGAGAAGATAGAGGGAGCAAGAAAGAAAGGCCACGAGGAACAACGGGATAGAATGTACGACGTGGTAAATGCCATAGGGGAACAAGTGAGGTTGTTACTAAGGCACACACACACACACACACTTGCGAACACAAACGCACAGAAAAAACAGAGGGTTTTCCCTTAAAGCCCACCTGAATGCCTCTGTTCAGCGCCGTCATGATGATGGGCATCTTGAGCCCCGCAGACAGAATGCTGTCCCTTAAAGCCCGGTTATGCACCGCTGTCGATGCCACCTCAGCGGCCGTTCTCCCGCCCTTCTGTGCAATTACCCTGGTTTGAAGGTTCTTCAAAGGACCTGTGCATGCACCCACCACCCCCCCTGCCAAGACTCCACATAGGAACTACAGAAATGGGTTGCAAAGAAGGAGCAGAAAGAGCAGACGAGATCAGAAAACCAAGTCAACTGCACACAGGCATGAGAGAGGCAGAACAAGAGCAGTTCGTTTCGATAAAAAGTACCGGTCCAGTCCCAACAAAACCACTTCACTTCACAAGCACGCCAGTTATTCTCCAAGCCTACCTGTTTCAGCTCCAAACTCCCGACGCGCCGAACCAGAGGCACAGGCACGTTGTCAGGCACGGGAACGCGGTACTCCCGAGCCTCCCTCGAAATCCGCTCCAGCGCATCTGGCGCCTCCGCCGAGCCTCCGCGTGACTCGCGCTCGGATCGCTGCGGAGAGCAATCGAGATGACGTCATTCTCCCCATCTCTAGAACACGACAGAGAAGATTATCTCGAGGCGCGGAGGAATAGAAATAGCGAAGGAAGTCAGATTCAGCAAAAAAAGAAGGCGGGAAGGGGGGGTGGAGAGGGGGGGGGGGGGGGGGGGGGGAGAGTGGGGATGAATTTGTGGGAATACAACGGAAATGGAACAGAAGGGAACGGCGAGTCCTCGGTATAACTTACACGCTCAGCCATGGTTTGCGGCGAGAGCTAACGCAGCGATCCGAGCGGAGAAAGTTTACGGGGAGGTTGGAATTAGGAGAGGCGGAACGCGGCGATCCGCCGCCTTTCGGGACTCAGAACGGGAATCAAGACTCAAGATAGGATCCGCTCGGCACGCTCCTGCGATTCTACGCTTGTAGAATTGAACAATACTGGTTCGGAAGGCCCTGCTGCTGGAATTCCATGATTCTGGGTTGCCATGTTGCTGGGAGGCCCAGCGGCCATGGTGCAGAGCGCCAGGCTTCCGCAAAATGCGGCAGGATGCTCGCACAATGAGAGCCATGCGCGAGTAGACAACGGAGATGGTGAGGTAGGGAGGGACGGGGGTGAAGGATGGCAGGAAAAATGTCATCGAAGCCATGAAGCTGCCCGAAACGCGACACGCAACGCCTGGGGCTTGCCGAAATGGTTTGTGGGACGGCGCCATGAATGCCACGTGGAGATGGCACACTGCTTTGTTGGGTTGGGAGAAAAATGGATCGGGTAGGAGCTGCTAAGTGCAAAGTTTCCGTTGCCGGGACTTGAACTCGGGTCTCTCAAGTGAGAGCCGAGTATCCAAACCGACTAGAGTACAACAGATGTGTATTGCTAATATTCAAAAATATTTTCGCATTAAAATGCTTTTCGGAGCCACTAATCAGGTGTGCCAAACCTACGTGGTACACGTGCCGACATCCAGAGTCGGATGTGTGGACACGTCATTCCACCGTGCCATGCCAAACCGTCAATACCGACCGCGATAAAGCGTCACTCGTTTGTGGTACTTACTTTTGCCCCTCGAGCTCATACAGCTGCCGCCACGTGTACAACCGTCAATGGGCGGTTTGAGAAATTCGCACCTTCCCCGTGAGCCTCGAGGTGTTAACCGAACCAAAGCTCTCCGAACCGAAGAAATTGAGCAGATATGGGTTCAGTATCTCGTCTGGAAATATTGATAGGGATTCTCAGCCAGTTGATTTGGCTGGAGCACAGCACAGCGTTCAGAATCACAAGGCAGAAACTAGTGAGAAGCACAGCTGCCTCAGGAACTGAGCTCTGATTGTCTGATGCAGTGCTGCAGTGCAGTGCAGAGCGTTCGCTTGTCATGCGGGGCAGAAGCGGCAGGATTTGACGCCTGGAGCAGTGGGCGAACTTCGTTCCAGAAGTGCGTCGAAAATAGTATCGGGGAGGACAAAAACGGCTAAGGTTAGACGCTTAGAAAAGTTTCTCGTGGTAGAATGCGACTTCCTTTGCCGCCGCCCTTTGCGGGCGATGCCGCTGACGGCAGGAAGCAAGGAGCGGCTGTAGCGGCCGGTCGTCGCGGAAACGCCGCCGGTTGTAGCGCAGCTCGTAAGCGTAACATATCGGCTCCTCCTGACTCGTCTCATTCGCAGCATTTGCTACAGCTGCCCGCGTGGCTACAGGATCTGCTGCAGCAGCAAGAGCGGTTATTAGCTAGAATCCAGGGCGACCCGCTTAGTTCCTATTCCATGACCGCCTCGTCCTCCTCTCATTCTTCTCCGTCTTCTTCCCTTTCAGAAGCCGGTCCTCCCGCCACCACTGCGGGTTCCCTCGCGACCGCAACGCATCACCTGCCATTTGCTAAAATGCTTCGACCGCCGCGCTTCTCCAATCCCTTCGCCGCGCTCCCTATCCCCGGAGGCTCGTCTTCCGCCGTCTCCGCTGCTTCCCCCGCCTCCGCCTCCGCTTCTCGCCCCTCTGCCTCCGCCCCGTCCGCCTCTCAAGAAAAATATGCGCAGCCGACCATCGCGCCGCCAGACCCGGCGCCTGCGGCGACGAGCTCTAAGGCGCTGATCCTGCTGCCGCGCCAGCGCCTTCTCTTAGTTCCCGCCGCCGACTCGACCCCGGCTACTACCGCTGACGTCATCACTGTCGTCGAGGAAGGTTCGCGGAAGGACCCTAGAGTGGAGCCTATTCCAGGTCCGGACTCCGGCTCGGGTCCTTCCGCCGTGATTCCCGGTCCGAGCGTCGTAACCTGGTCGAAGCTCGCCGGGTGGCGGGTCGAGCTCCCGCCGAACCTACCGGACCTGACGAAGCTTCGTCCAGACATTGAGAAGCTTCGGCCGGCGCTCGAGGCGCGTGTGCAGCACACGCTGTCGCACGTTCCGTTTCGGGAGCTGCTGGAGGAGATTCAGCAGTGGAGCAAGGCGCGCGGGGGGATCGGCGGGTGGGCGGAGGGGGGCGCGCGCGGAGCGCGGCGGTACCCGAACAAGCAGAAACTTTCGTCCGTGCAAGACTTTTTCCAATACGCGGAGGCGGAAGGTGAGCGAGTGGGTGGTTAACCCTAATAATGATTACCCAACAAGCAGAATCTGTTGTCGTCCGTGCAAGACGAGACGAGCTAACAGAGGGATCAATGGCGGAAGGGCGAGCAAGCAAACCTCAACACGGGACGCTCAACAAGCTGAAGCTGTTGCTCTCGGTGTGCATTCCCAACAAACCAAACACCCCCCCCCCCCCCCCCCCCCCCCCCCCCCCCCCCCCCCCCATTCCACCCCCTTCAGCCCCTCCCCCCTTTCGTCCCTCTTCCCCTCGGCGACCCCCCTCCCTTCCACAACCCATAGGGACCTCGCTTGTTCACGGGAGCCCAGAGTTGGGCAAGGGCGGGGACGGGCAGGTGCAACTGGAGCCCCCCCCTCCCCTCCCGCCACCCCAACCCCCCAACCCAAACCCCCATCAACCCGTCGCCTGGTCTCAGAGTTGGGCAGGGGAGGGGACGGGTAGGTGCGGCTAGGGGACCTTGAGAGGGCGCTGTAGCCGCGTTGCCATGTCAGACGACTTCAACCATCCCTTCACCTATTCCCCTCTACCTATCCCCTCCCCTCCCTCCCGTCCCCAAAACCCCCCATCAGGCCGGCTCCTGTTTGCCGACTTGGACAAGAAGGATGGGGACGGGCAGGTGAAGCTGGAGGACTTGGAGAGAGCACCCAGCGCCGGCGCCTGCTTGTCTTCCCCCGTCCCTCCAATCCCAACCTCCCCAATTCTCCCCCACCCCCCTCACCCATCAGGCCGGCGGCTGTTCGCTGAGTTGGACAAGGACGGGGACGGGCAGGTGAAGCTGGAGGACCTGGAGGGGGCCTTCAAGCTGCTGCCTTGACTGACAGTCTTCAACGATCCCCCACCTCTTCCTCCCTACTATATTCCGCCATTCCCTTCCCCACCTCAAATCCCCCCCCCATCAGGCCGGCGGCTCTTTGCCGAGCTGGACAAGGATGGGGACGGGCAGGTGAAGCTGGAGGACCTCGAAAGGGCGCTCAAGAGACGCCGCCTGCCAGCAGCGCACGCCCGCCCGCTGCTCAGACGCCTCCGGCGCCACTGGCTGGCCTCTTCCTTCGGGTGGGAGGAGTTCCAGTCGTTCATGGAGGCCAAGGAGCCCGCCATGCTGCGAGCGTTCACTTCGCTGTGTGTGGGGTCGTCAGGGACACTGCAGAAGGGACAGGTGAGTCAAGAGTCGTTCGGATGGTGCTGCCATGCTGCTGAGCGCGTTCACGTCCCTCTGTGTGGGTCTTCAGGGACGCTGCAGAATGGGCAGGTGTGTGGGCCGTGACTGGTCAGCCAGGTCAATTGGGTCAAGCGAGTCACACAAGGATTTTCAGTCGTTCTTGGAGGCCAAGGAAGGAACCCGCCATGCTGAGAGCGTTCACTTCGCTCTGTGTTGGGTCGTCAGGCTCGCTGCAGAAGGGACAGGTGCGTGCCGCAAGGGAGTCATGGCCTGGTGCGTGATTGACATGGTGTCATGGCATGGCTCTGGCTGACATCGTCGTTTGGGGGGGAGGAGTTCCAGTCGTTCATGGAGGCCAAGGAAGGAACCCGCCATGCCCCGAGCAACGTGCGTGCCATGATGCGGTTGGTAGACGCGGGTGAGTCGGGCCACGCAGAGAGTGGAATGACCCCCCAATCCCTTCCCGCACACACCTGTCGCCCCTCGCTCTCTGCTCAGAGGTGTTTGCTTCATTGGAGAAGGCGGGGCTGCCAGCTACAGGGAGCAACGTGCGGGCCATGATCTGGTTTCTGCATGCGGAGCGCACGAGTCAGGCCTCGTGGCTTCCCTCTCTCCCCCACCTTACCCTCTCCTTCACCCCCTGACAACCCCTCCCAACCGAACCTCCTCCTCCCCCCCACTCTTCCCACCAGGTGTTCACCTCACTGGAGGAGAAGGCAGGCCTACCAGCCACAGAGAGCAACGTGCGTGCCATGATGCGGTTTCTCGACGCGGACGAGGGGGGAACACACCAGGGGGGAACACACCAGGGGGGAACACACCAGGGGGGAACACACCAGGGGGGAACGCGTGCCTACAGGGGCTCCTGTTCGTCGTCTTCCCTCCCCTCCTCCACTTCCACCACCACCACCACCGCCAGGTGTTCGCCTCACTGGAAAAGGCGGGTCTGCCGGCAACAGAGAGCAACGTGCGGGCAATGATGCGGTTCCTAGATGCACACGAGTCCGGCCACGTCACCTATGGGGACTTTCGGAACTTTCTGCTGCTGCTGCCGCCCGAACGGCTGCAGGGGAGCGACCCCAGGTGAGGGGATGATGGGGAACGAGGTTTATGGGGGGCAACGGCACCTGCTGCTGCTGCTGCTGCTGCTGCTGCTGCTGCTGCTGTATTAGCCATACCTGCTGCCACCCCGCCGCTGCGATTGCTGCTGCAGCTGCTCCGCCTGCTCGGCTGCGCTGCCATCCAAATGGCTGTAGAGCGAAGTGTCGCTAGATTAAGAGAGGAAGGGTTGGTCGGAGGAAGGACTGGTGGGCAGAGGTGCAGTGAGGTGCAGTGAGGTGGCAAGCAGCGTACCTGCCCTCCTCTCCCTCACTTTCTCCCTGCATTTTAGCTTTGTGTTTTGAGGTTTGTCGTCTCCCTCCACAACCCCACCCACACACCCACACAAACCCCCATCCCCACCCCCACACCCCATGGTGCACCGCACATGATGACCGCACCTTTGTCTCTCCTTTCCACCCTCCCTCTTCCCCCGCCCCCCCTCTTCCCCCTCCCCCCCTCTTCACCCACCCTTCTTCTCCTCCTCCTCCCCCCCTCTCCCCCCCACAGCATGGTGTGGTACGACGCGGCCACCATGGTTCCCATGGCGCCGCCCGCTGCCACGTCAGCGCCAGCTGGCAGCGTGATCAAATCTGCGCTGGCGGGCGGGCTTGCCTCGGGATTGTCGACCTGCCTCATGCACCCCTTGGACACTATCAAGGTGAGTGTGACTGTAAAGCAGGTGGCTGTGATTGTAAGGAAGGTGGGCGTTTCTGGAAGGAGGGATACCAAGGGTTTTACTGTACGGAGTGTGATGTGAAGAGTAGGCTATCTTATCAATATAGGTCGATCAATGGAGTTCTTGAATTCGATACAAGTGGTCGTGACAGAAAGACAACTGTGACAGTCAGAAACGGCGAGCTGTTAAAGGTGCAGTTCATAACCCTTTCAAAGTCAAGACGGCTCTTTCTACTGCTCCCACCCCACCCACGCCCCTCTCAGCTCCCCTCACTTTCTCCTCCCTCCCTTTTTTGGCTCTATCTATTTTCCCTCTCTTCCTTATCACCTCCACCAGACCTGCGTGCAAGCCTCCTCAGCCCGCTCTCAGAGGTGGTGCGATCTGTGCCGTCGATTGGCATCCAGGGGCTGTACTAGGGAGCTCAGATCTTCCCATTCCCCTCTCTCTATGCTCCCACCACCAGACGCGGGTACAAGCCTCCTCGGCATCTCTCTCAGAGGTGATGCAATCCGTGCCTTCCATTGGCATCCAGTAACTCTACCGGGCGGCACCGCTGGCCGTCGATGGGGCAGTGTGTGAGGCGACCAAGCCCCGTCTCTCTCAAGCTGCCCTTCCTCTCACTCCCTCCCCTCCCTCACTTCTCACCACCAGACGCGGGTACAAGCCTCCTCAGCCTCGCTTTCAGAGGTGGTGCGATCGGTGCCATCCATCGGCATCCAGGGATTGTACCGGGGAGCGCCGCCTGCCATCCTGGGACAGTTTGCCAGCCATGGGGTGCGCACGGGCGCGTACGAAGCTTCCAAGATGCTTCTCACGAGCATGCTGCCCAACCTCACAGAATACCAGGTATGGGTTTCGGCTTTACTTTGGTGACAGATCCATCCAGCTGCGTGCTTTGGCTTGCGCCGCTCTACAGAGTTGTTTGAGCAGCGGTTGCAGTGCCTAGTGTTTAGCCGTAACTGCTGGCAGGGACTCCATGATAGCACACGGAGGCTCTCTCTTGAGAATCGTGGCTGTGTATCGAGAGTGCTCGAGATGCGACCAATTCCTTTTAGAACAGCGCGGGGAGGCTGTGTCTGGTCGCTAGTCGAAACTCTTGAGTCGACTCAAAAGTCAGCGCGGGGAGGCTGTGTCTGGTCGCTAGTCGAAACTCTTGAGTCGACTCAAAAGTCAGCGCGGGGAGGCTGTGTCTGGTCGCTAGTCGAAACTCTTGAGTCGACTCAAAAGTCAGCGCGGGGAGGCTGCGTCTGGTCGCTAGTCGAAACTCTCTTCCAAAATCTCTTTCCCTTCCGTCTCTTCCTCCGCCCCCAGGTCCAACCAGTGGTATCTCCCTGCTCGATAGTATTGGGAATAGCTTTCTGCATTCTTTGTGAAGTGCTGAAGCAGCAGCTGCAGGCAGGGCTGTACAGCAACACTCACCGACTTAACTTTCCCGCCCTCTCGTCCCCTCCATCCTCTTCCCTTCCTGTGGCCAACCTCAGGTCCAACCGGTGGCCTCCCTGTGCTCCACTGTGTTGGGAACGGCCCTGCGCATTCCCTGCGACGTGCTGAAGCAGCAGCTGCAGGCAGGGCTGTACAGCAGCACGAAGGCACTTACAGGCGCCCAACCACCTCCTCCCCCTCACTCCTTCCCCCTACGTCCCTCTCTTCTCCCTTGCCCCTCAGGTCCAACCAGTGGCTTCGCTCTGCTCCACAGTGCTGGGCACTGCCCTGCGCATTCCCTGCGAGGTGCTGAAGCAGCAGCTGCAGGCAGGGCTGTACAGCAGCACAGGCGCGGCGCTCAAGGCGACGCTCAAGGAGGGCGGGGTGAAGGGGCTGTTCCGAGGCACCACCGCCACGCTGTGCCGAGAAGTGCCCTTCTACGTGTTTGGCATGCTGATTTACCTGCAAGTCAAGCGGGTGAGTTGGGTTGAAACTAGAGGCCAACGGAGGGGTGAAGGGGCTGTTCCGAGGCACCACCGCCACGCTGTGCCGAGAAGTGCCCTTCTATGTGTTTGGCATGCTGAAAGAGAGTGCAAGTGCCATAATAAGGGCCAGCTGAAATTGGCCTCTAAGGAGTTTGGAAACGTCTCAAAACATCGCTCCTACTTTCCGCATCCCATCGCAGGTCACGCGCCATGTGCTGTGCCGGGAGCTCGCCCCCTGGGAAGCCCTCCTCCCAGGCGGCTTCTCGTGCTCTCTGTGTGTTGACTAATCTCAAAGGCATCATTCTTGCTCACTTCTCCCTCTCCCACTCTCCTCATCGCAGGTCACTCGCCATGTGCTGCGCCGAGAGCTCGCCCCTTGGGAAACCCTCCTGCTGGGCCGCTTCTCATGCTCTCTATGAGTCCGCTGATTTCAAGGGCATCATTGTCACCCCCTCTCCTTCCCTCCTCCCACCCACCCATCCCAGGTCACTCGCCATGTGCTGCGCAGGGAGCTCGCCCCCTGGGAAACCCTCCTCCTGGGCGGCTTCTCGGGCGGCATGGCAGCGATCGCCATCACGCCATTTGATGTCATCAAGACGCGCATGATGACGTCGCCGCCCGGGGCGGCAGCGGCCGGCATGCTGACAGTTGGCGCGAATCTATTGGCCACGGAGGGGGTGGGGGCGCTGTATAAGGGCTGGCTGCCGCGGTTCTTCTGGATTGCTCCCCTTGGAGCGATGAACTTTGCTGGGTATGAGCTGGCGAAGCAGGCGATAGATGATGTGGGGGAGGAGGGAAAAGAGGCGTAGTGGAGAGGGAGCAGGAGGAGCAGGGTGCAAGGAGGGGGCAATAGGAGGCAAGGAGGAGGCAGTAAGGAGGCAAGGAGGAGGCAGTAAGGAGCAACCAGCTTTGGTGGATGACAGTACAGTGCTCTACCGGTGCTGGCTGGTTCTTCTGTGCTGTTCCCCTTGGAGCGGTGAACTTAGCTGGTTATGAGCTGGTGAAAGAGGCGTAGCAAGCAAGCAGTGGTAGTGAGGGGGGAAAGAAAACGAGAAGGCAGTGCATTCAAGTGGTGGCTGCTGCAATATTTTTCTAAACAATTGGAAGGCGAGTGGGATGGCGGTGGGGTGCATTAGAATGTAGGTCAGGGAACGGAGCACAATGGCATTTTTTCGGGATGTAGAAGGGGGGTGGATGAATAGTTTCCCTTTGCCGGTATGAGTTGGTGAGGTAGGGAAATATCAAAGGAGTGGAGGGGAAGAGTTGAGCGGAGCACTGGAAGAATCAAGAAGGATCACGGGTGTTCTAGATGTGTTCCATTTGTGTCCTTAGGAAATTCTGATGGGTGCGAAAGGGGTATCAACGGGTATGAAGGGTTGGATGTTACTATTCCTAATAAAAGGCCCTAGGGTTCGGTATTATGACAATTCCTGTTAAAAGCCCTTAGCTATAGTAGCGCGCATCGCTTTAGTAAGTTACGCTTTCTTGGAAGCATTATGTTAGAGAATAGGCCCTTATTGTTGCCAAAGGGGACTGTCCGGTAATCATTGGAATTGTACAATACCGTATTACCCCGGATATATGCGCATGTGCGGTTATAATAAATCAGTGTTTTTTAGGGGGGTGCGCATATAACTGAGTCAAAATTATAAGTGCATGCGCTTATAAAATGACAAATATAAAATTACAATTTTCAGACACCAAACAGTATATCTCGTGCCTGCCATTTCAATTGAGTCAATTTTACATAGGGTCGTGAGTGAAATTTTCGCGCGCGCTAGCAAATACATTCGATGTGACTCACAGGGTGCCCCTTGTCAAAACATATGCATATCATTATCTAGGCTATTTTAGGTCTAGCCTTAGGGGGTACAGAAACTTTCTCGACACTCTAGCCTTGTACCCCAACCTTGACCTAATCTCATCATTCTTGCCTTAGTTCTTAACATGGTAACTAGAGCAGGAAGTCTCTAGGACCTAAGAATCGGGCCCACCTAACTGTGTTTCCCTAACTACTGCCTGCCTGCCTTGCCTACTGCCCACGCGCGCCTCGGCTGCAGCGCGCGTCACCTTTTTTTTTCGCGCGCGCCTCGACTGCTAGCGCGCGCGTCACTGTTTTTAGCGCGCGCCACTGCTGCAGCGCCGCGCGCCGGCCCGCGTCGCCCGCGCAGCCCGCGTAGAGCCCGCGCAGCCCGCCGCCGCGCGCAGCCCGCCGTCGCGTACAGCCCGCCGTCGCCCCGCGCGCCGCGTCTGTCGCCAGCGCGGCCCGCCACTGCGCCGCGCGTCGCGTCGGCCGCCTGCGCGGCCCGCTGCTGCTTAGCGCGCTGCTTTAGGAGCTCGCGTGCGGCCGCTCCTGCCTGCTGCGTGCTGCCTGCTGTCTCCTGCCTGCTGCCTGCTGCCTCTGTCTTTGCCTGTGGCCTGGTGCCTGCTGCCTCTTGTCTGCTACCTGCTGCCTCCTGCCTCTGCCTGATGCCATTATGACGACGCCTAACGTTCTCGCGTTCGAGCCTGACAGTCGCCCCATAGAGTTCGCTGTGTGGTTAGATGATCTCCAACTGTTCCTCCTGACCGATGCCAAAGAGGGCGTTTCACTGTTCGTTTACGTGTCTGGCACTGCCGTTGCTCCTGCTGCCGATGCTCCTGCTCTCGAACGCTCGCAGTGGCAGACTCGCGATGCTGCTGCACGCCTAGCTATTAGGAACCATCTGCCGATTACTGAGCGCGCGCATTTCAGCCAACACAAAACTGCTAAGACGCTGTACGACGCTGTAGTTGCGCGCTACTCCTCCCCGGCCACTGCAGCCATAGGTCGGCTCATGCTACCCTACCTGTTCCCCGACCTTTCCTCGTTCACCACTGCTGAGGACCTCATTTCCCACCTACGTGCTACTGACACTCGCTTTCGTGCCGCCCTTTCAGCCGAGTTCCACGCCGCAACCCCCCCCCCCCCCCCCCCCCCGATGTACTTCACTCTCTATTTCCTCGTCACCCGCCTCCCTGACACTCTTAGCTTAGTCAGGGACCACTTCCTCGCGCTAGACCCCCCCACTCTCACTGTCGACGACTTCGAGAAGCACCTCCTCGCAGCAGAGAAGAACATCCTCGCTGTAGGTGCTGCTCGTGGCACTCCTCGCTCTCCCCTCTTTGAGGGGTGCTCCCCCTCCCCTCTCACCCCCTCCTATGCCTCCGCAGCTGCTGCTCACGACTACCTTGGTGCTGAGGAGGTCGGGGCTGCTTCCGCTCCTAGTGGGAAGCGTCGCAGCGGCAGGGGCGGCAAGGGTGGCAGGGGAGGTGGGGGTGGCGGTGGAGGTGGCGGTGGTGCAGGCGGTGGGGGAGGTGGAGGTGGTGGAGGTGGTCGTGGGGGTGGAGGTGGTGGTGGGGGCGGCGGAGGCACTGGGAGCGGTGGAGGTGGTAGCAGCGACGGTGGGGGAGGAGGGAGCGGCGGTGTGGGAGGAGGGAGCGGTGGTGGCAGTGGTGGTCAGGGCCAGCAGTAGTCGCAGCCGCCGCAGCAGCAGCAGCAGCGTCAGCGCCAGACCCCCACTTCCCAGCAGCTTCTTGACTGGTATGCCGGACGTGGGGCTTCTGGGGGTCCTAGTCGCTGCCCCTATATCATTCACACAGGTCCCCGCACTGGTCGCCAGTGCACAGGGTTTCACACTGAGCAGCGCTGCTTCGCTCGGCTTAGCGACGCCTGGCGCGTCAAGTTCCCTGATGCTCCTGAGTTCCCCAACTGGGCAGAGCTGCTTAGGCGTGATGTACCTATCTTTGATCTTGACTATGAGGCTATTCTTGCTGCTATGTATGCATTGTCTGTTAGTGCTGAGGGTGACTGCTACTTGTGTGTGCCGCCGGATCCTGGTATAGCCCCTGGTATAGCGCCTGGTATAGCGCCTGCAGCACTAGGTGCTTGTGAGTCTGCTCCCCTTGGTACTGCGCCTGCACAGGCCTTGCACACCTTTACACTTGACTCTGGTGCTTCCCGCTGTTTCTTTCGCGACAGTACCACAGTCACTCCCCTCCCTGCACCTGTTCCTGTCTCACTGGCTGACCCCTCTGGGGGCCCAGTGCTTGCACGGTATTCCACCGTGCTTCCGTGTCCGGCGGTCCCATCTGGTGAGCTGTCTGGTCTCCACCTCCCCTCGTTCTCTACGAACTTGGTGAGCAACGCTGTCCTCCAGGATGCGGGGGTTGACACCTTCACCCCTGGCCGGCAGCGTGTGGCGATCTGCACGTGCTCCCGGACCGGCCGCCACCTGGCCACGTTCACTCGTGCGCCAGGGTCCAGTCTGTACACCCTCACCACTGCGTCGCGCTCCGCCCCTTTGTCTCCCCAGTTACACGCGTCTGCTCAGGTAGCTACCCAGTGTGAGTGTCGCCGGCTGTCGCACGACACTCTCTTGTGGCACCACCGCCTTGGTCACCCCTCCCTGCCTCGCCTGCGTAGCATGCACTCTCGCTTCCTGGTCTCTGGTCTTCCCAGGTCTCTACCTGCCCTCCCTCCCTCGCTTGCGCCGCCCTGCATTCCTTGCGTCGAGGGGCGGCAGCGCGCCGCTCCTCACTCCTCCTCGTTCCCTCCCACAGAGGCTCCACTGCAGACTCTCCACCTGGACGTGTGGGGCCCAGCCCGCGTCCGTGGACAGGGCCACGAGCGGTACTTCCTACTGGTTGTCGACGACTACACGCGTTACACCACGGTCTTCCCCTTGCAGAGCAAGGGGGATGCCCCTGATGTGTGGTGACGTTGTGATCCACCCTGAGCTGTGTTTTGTTTCTTCTCTTGACTGGTCTTGTGACCGTTGCTTGCTCTGGCTATCCCCCATTTCGCCTATGGGGGTGTGTCAAAACATATGCATATCATTATCTAGGCTATATTGGGGCTAGCCGTAGGGGGTACAGATGAGAAACTTAGAACGAGAATGGATTGACTAAGGAATGAAAGTGATACAAATATGAAACCCTAGAATTGTGTACCCCTTAGTGTCTAACCCGCTACAGCCTACACAGGCTAGATCATATAAGTTTGACACACCCCCATAGGCAAAGTGGGGGAGAACAAGGGGTCACAAGACCAGTCAAGCAAAGCAAGGCAAAGCAAGCTCAGGGTGGATCACAACGTCACCACACATTCTGAGCACAAGTTCAAGGCCACAAGGCCAGTTCACATGCATGAGTACACACATATATATAACGCTAAACAAGCAAGAGCAGGTATATCTATATGTAACAGTACAAGCAAGGTCAAGAAGTGAGCAAGTGAGGCAAGGTAGGTACAAGACCTAACAGAGTACAGAAGCGCTGATGGTCACAAGGCGCAAGTGCCTTGGTGAAGATATCAGCAGTGTTGGCCTCAGAGGCCACGTAAGCAAGGCGCAGCTGACCTCGCTGCTGCAGCTCACGAGCAAGGAAGTAGCGAAGAGCGATGTGCTTCGTTCTGTGCTCCAGTCTGTGCTCCCGACACAAGGCCAGCATAGCCTTGTTGTCTACGTACAGAACTGGAGGAGAACGAGGCGGCTCTCCTAGGTCAGTCAGCAGGTAGGTGACCCAGCGTAGCTCCTGTGCAGCCATGGCCCCTGCGTAGATCTCAGCCTCACAACTGGAGCCGAGAACAGAAGTCGAGCGGGTAGACCGCCACGAAACAGAGCCGGAACCAAGGCTGAAGGTGTAACCCTGTGACGACCGCTGCGTAGCCTGGTCGTCAGCCCAAGAAGCGTCTGCGTGACCAGTGAGGACCACTGGACTCCGCCCTCCAAGCACAAGCCCCATGCCCGACGTACTGCACAAGTAGCGCAACACCCTCTTCGCTGCAGCC